GGTTCCGGGCCCCGGGGGGCTGCCGCGGCCGGGCCGGCGGGATTGCGGCGGGACGAGGTGGCCCGGCGGGGTTGCGGCGTATCCCCCTAACCCACCCACCCCGCCTGCTGGCGGTGGCGCTGGGAAGGGTCGCCCGGCCACGGAGGAACCCCCGGGGCGCCGCGACGGGAAGCGGCACGGCGGGGAGCGGTGCGTGCGAGGGGCGGCGGCATCGGCGGCAGGAAGGCGCCGGGAGGAGGAGGAGGACGACATGTCAAGTCGGCCAACGAGGAACTAGGCCGGAGAAGACCTCTCGCTAGGACTTCCCGGGCCCGCGTCTCCTGCCGAGGCGCCGGCGAGCGGGTGCGTTTGGCGCTCCCCGCCCGGGGCACCGCGGCTGCCAGCTGGGTTGCGGGGGCCGAGCCCGGCCTGACCGGGAGGGCCCGGCCCCGGCTGGCGCCTTCCTCCGGCAGCCGCGGCAGTACGAGGTGCCTCTGCCGGGACAGGCTGTCCTGATTCCCGTACAAGAATACACTTTTGTGACCGCTTCTGTGCTAAAACCGAACCGACTGTGACACGGTTGTACCGGTGCAAGCCACTGCACAGAGCCCCTCCTCTTCCCTTTCCACCCTCCCTCTGCTCTGGTCCTGCCGAATCTGGCAGTGCATTCCACCCTCCCTCTGCTCCAGAGCTACCAAAACTCGTGTTTCATGAACACTTTTGCTTCCCTTGCGTTGGCTCTCCCTCGCTTTCTGACAGGATCCCTTCTGCAACCCGCTGCTGATCTAGCACAGGTATTTTCTTTGCTACCTCCAAAGGGGGGGAGTCATTGATCATCAGTGAAAAAATGCAACAGCTGAAAACCCTTAGCCAAAGGGAAAGGTTTAGACAGAGTGGGTTATGAGAGTTACAGCAACAGAGTTGAGATGGGCTGACAGCTTTTGAAACATCTTCCATACATGCAGTATTTTTGTCTTCAGCTGCAGGGACCCTTCCATTTATCTCCTGTTGCCTGTATTGGGGATAGCAGCTTTGGTTCCTGTCTGTTATTCCCTTCTGTTCCTGATAACTACATGGCCACAAGTTCTGATGCTTGCAGACTTCTTCACTTTCTCCAATTATACCTATAACACCTCTCAAGAACTTGTGCCCTGAGAGCATCATCAGACCAAAAGGGCTGCTATTACTGTGTAAACTTTTTTCATATTACCGTGCTAATGCACTCAGCAATCCTCCCTAACTGCACAGGCTACACAAGATCTACATCAGATCAGTAACAAATCATTAGAAGAGAGCAAACTGCTTTTGAGTGGTGACCAGGCCCAATATGACCTCGTGACCAGGTCACAATTCTTGGGAGTTTATGTACCCTTTGGGCGTTAGAGGGGAGTACATAACCGTGGTGTTAAAAAGAAAAATGTCACAAATGCACTTATTACACTTTTATCTCTCTCTAAAGAAAACCCAAACATATTAGTGGGTCCCTCTCTTTTAGCAACCAGTGTTCCCTCTCTTTTAGCAACCAGTGTTCAAAGTTTTCATAATACATGTTGGCACTTGTTAAATATGAACCCACCCTAATACAGATGTTCAGAATATTATATTAAAAAAAACCTGCTTTATAATCACTCAAGTATACAGATGAGGGCTGCCTCACAGAACACGAGTTAACCCCTAGAAGTACATGTAGCTTCTGTAAGGTTAGGCTAAACCAGACTACAAAACTTCCTGTCTCTTAACCACAGATACGTGGTGTTTGCACTGGTGTATCATAGGTACTGAGAATACACGTGAATCACCATGTATCTCAGTAAAAAGCAGTAAGCTTGGAATGAACTTGAGCCTTTGAGCTTCCCCCCTTGATTTCTGTATCATCTGACATATCCAGGTAACATCAGCCAATAGCCTCATGTTAAATAGTATACTGAAATATGTAGTCTTTGCTTAAAAACCTGGCTAGAAATTGCTTTCCTTTCTACAAAAAACTTTGGGTTTGAAGTCTTAAGATCAAAGAGCTTCTACGCAGAGTACCTCACTACTTAATAACAACAACAAAAAAAAGTAGTAGCATCCTAATAAGAGAGCATGCCCAAGGAGGAGGGTTCCCTCCCATCTTATGGGAAAACTCCCTCTGTTGAGTGTTGTCCAACTCATTTCAACAGATGTCTTATGATTTCAGAAGTTATTACTTCTGAATTTCCAAGCCTTCTGGTTATGGTGATTACATGCTGCTTGGTAGGAACAGGTATTAGCAATGTAAATAGGAACAAGGTCCTATATTGTTACAGTTTGAGGCAGAGCTGTTTTTTGCCAAGTTATGTGGTATTGAATGGCATCCCCAAGCTATCAATAGTATTAATGCAGCTTTAGAGATTCAGCATTCAAAATTACACATCTACTTTGCCTTCACAAGAAGAGCACATGCAATTCTTACAAGAATAACTAAGATGCATAATGACTGTTAGCATGGAAAAATTACCATAGATATGTGCCTTTGAAACAATTCCTGAAAGGGAGACCCCAGATAAAGAAGCAAGATATTAGTTCATGCCACATTAAAGTCTCATGACTGAATTCCAGCCTTTGTACCTGTGACACCCACCCCATCTACACAACAGTCAGTAGCACCACCCCCAGAAAGCCAGAGAACCATCACCAGAAACTTCCAGGGAGACGAGCACTCACCTATGAGAGTAGAAGTGGCTATTCTTGGCACTGCTGTGAGTCATTTGTTACTCAGCTATTTGATTAGCTGTAAAGGAATTTAAAGAAAAGAAACCAAAACCAACAACAAACAAAACACAACAACAGTCTCCTCTCCCCTAATAATTATTAGGCATAGCAGAGCTTACCTTCTTAGTAAACAACTGCAATTATATCCTCAGTCCTGTTCTCATAACACAGGCTAGTACTCCAGCAAAACAAAATCTGCATCCTTTCAAATCCAGGAAAGCCAAAGACAAAAACTCTGAAGAGAGCACATTGCTCCAGCTGTAGAAAGGGTGTCAAAAAGCAAGTGGATAGGGTACTTCAGGACATGGTTTAGTAGGCATGGTTAATGGTTGGACTCGATGATCCTGAAGATCTTTTCCAACCTAAACAGTTCTATGTTCCCTGTCTATACAGCAACAGCCCATAGAGTATATATACACTTAGAAGAGGAAGCTCTTGCTTTCTCTCTTCTACAGGTGCAACTTTTTTTTTTTTAAATTAAGTTTACTCTTCTCTATTTTGGCTTGTCAGTATCGAACTGGCCAGACAACTTCCAAATATAAACATCTCTTTTCCCTCAGAGACCTACCTTCTACAGACACTTCCTCTACCTCCTTATTCCCCAGGCTCCAGGAAGAGGTTGTGGTAATTAGGCTGCAGCTGATGATCATAACAACATTAAGCAATCTTTTCAATTAGAGATTTGATGATACAGGTGCACAGTAGTTAGCAGTCACTTGTTAATCTGAAAAATTTGTGAATCCCCTTGCTACACTATTTAGAGCTCTTAATTGCCTGAATGAGCCAATCTACTGTTGCTGATAGTGGCCCTTTGAAATGGTGCCTTTCTCCCAGCTCTGTGTGTTGTAGTCATCCAAGAGGAATGGAAACTGAACAGCCCTGCTAGACTCTTGGACTTTGTCTTTTCTCAGCAAACTCTTTCCTTATCCTATGTAAGGTGCTTAAGGTAAAAGTTCAGTAAGGGGAAAAAAAGAGAGCTTGTGGCTTGCACCTGTGCTAGCAATGCAACTTGTTGGTGTGTGCCAAAGGTACCGGCTGTCTAGTCTTCTTTTAAGGTTTTACCTCCAGAGAGATGCGTTAGGCAAGAGAGCACCACAGCTTTATCAAAGACTTAAAATTATTCTGGCATCTGCTGAGGTTTACTTATCTACCCATTTCATAGGCTCCCCCAAGCTCTCTTTTTTTCTTGGTACACTTAGGAGATACTGCAAACCTTCACAATTTCTTTGTTCCTCTTCTTTTTGAGAGGCAGGGGAGAAGTTGCCTTATATCCCCACCACAGTCCTTCCTAGCACTTGTCTCCTTAAATTCAGACAGCTGTGAAAATAAGTTTCCCACAGAAGCTGGGTTCTTTGTTTCACTCTCCAGAGAAACCTTTTGTTTGTTTGTTTTAAGCCTCAAGCAAACCCTTTAGAGCTGGATTTTCAAAGATGCTTAAAAGGTAGCTTAGAGTTATATAAGTATCTGGGCACCTGAGGCCCATGTTCAGGCAATTTAGAAAATGAGATACCTATCAGAATCATGAGGCACTACCTGCCTCTGGGACTGTGGCCCTTGATTTTTCTGGGTTTCAGTTTTTGCACGTGTGAATTGTAGGGACAGTACCAATCTACTGCGTATTATATGAATAAAAACTATTTATGAACAGTACTTTGAGATCCTCAGGTGAAGAAATGGGTTTACATCTACTTAATATAACTGTAATGGGTTGACAAGATAAATCATTGTGACCTTTAGGTCTGATCCTGTGAGAACCACAGCATCTTTGGTATCAAACTGAGGCCCTGTGTTCATAAGGGTCACAAGAGTATATGCTTGTGTCCCGCTTCTTGCATATGTGCTTATTTAGTGGAACAGCTACATGCTTGATAATGACACTTCTTTTTTCTCCTTTATACCACAGGTCCAGAAGCACTAGGGTACTTGATTTTGTTTTAATTGCTAAGCCACAAAGACTGCAAACATGTCTCTGGAAGACATCCACATGAACACCCAAGATTTGCTTGAAAAAAAACCATTAGACGCTGGAGGATTTGGAACAATTTCTTTATGCTTTCACAAGAAACATGGATATGTAGTATTAAAAAAAGTGTATACAGGACCCCAGCGCACTGAGTAAGTTACAGACCTTAGTTCTGATTTTTATCTTTCTGTTAGTCTAAGGAATCCTCTAAACTCAATGGAGATAAATCTAAATTAAGTGTAATAATTTCAGATCTTTGGATTCTGGAGATACTGTATGTGGGGAAAATACTCTAAGACAATACTAGCAGCTGTCCTGCAAATTTTCCTTTTTTCCCCTCATGAGCCAACTTTTTTAGTTTTAGCTCATTGTTCCAGTGAAGTTCCTGTTTTCTGTTGTAAGGCAAGCACACTGGATTGTTAAGAATTGAGAGCATTCTTGCACACTTAAGGAAATGCAGGAACTCAGTGGCACATGATATTTTCAAGCTTGCAGATCAATTTTCAATATAATTGTCCAACCATAGATGTCCACTAGGAACTAAACACACATGAGCTATCAGTAGGACTCCAATCTCACATGTATAATACCAAGAATGTAACCCTCTCTCCCTTGAGAAAAAGCAGAGTGAGCCGAGCCTGCTGTTTTAATTCAAGGATTGAATTAGCTGTTGATTTCAGTGGATTCAGGTCACATTGCAGCTCTGCTACCTCAGAGCCGTAATGATCCTGAAAGTCTCCAGTGAGTCATCCACTAGAGAGAGACAAAACCCCACGTTCTTCTAGTTTGGGTTATAATAAATAAATTAACTGAGTTTTTATTTTGCCAGTGAAAAATGAATTAAGAGATTCTAGTAGTTTGCAAGCTGCACTGACAGTTTGGGATGAACACAGTTAAAATGGACAAGCCTGTCTGGTTTGTGTTTTTACTTTCTCACTACACAGGCTCATAAGCTTGTTATTCCTTAAAGTCTTGAACCAAAAGCCTTAAGCAAATTTACAGCTGAGCCTAATGCAAACAAAACAGCCACTTTCTTCTCTAGTACTAGAGGAACACAGAGGGAGAGAGCAGTTTCATGTTAAGTCACAGGGTAGGAAAGCATTAGCAAGCAACATAGTCTCAAGATTTTCTTATATTCTTTTGCCCTATGACTAGAACAGGAGCAACGGTAAAAAGAAGACTATTTAATATAACAGGTACCATCCTTCTCTAACACCCTTAGCAAGCTCCCAGCTGTGTACCTGTGACTATTGATGGGTTGTACTGAGGCCCAGGTAAAAGTTAGGTTTTGAATTCATCCTAAACCCGTAATCATTAGTACATGTTATCACCATCCAGTACATGGATGGATCCCCTGTAATAAATCCATTTTGAATGTGAATACCAGCCCTTTGGAAAAGAGACCTGTATGGTTTCCTGTACAAGAGGCAGTGGAATGTGTCTCAATCCTCCTTGTCCGAAGACTCTTTCAGCCCTGCCCTGTCCTGATCCCACCCCAGTTCAGGGATTTGGACATACACAACCAGCAGTGCAGCTACAAGAAGAATGCTTATGCACTTTCTGAAAAGCAGACCTTAAAATCAGGCTGAGCAGACAGTCTCTGTGCAATGTGTTTGAGACTTAGAGAATATAACCTGGCATGAACAAAACTGTATCAATTCAAAACCAGCTGAAGGTATAGTTCATCTTACAGTGGCTCTAGGGATGTTGACATGTTTGGCCATTGTTTTCATTATGAATCAACAGCATTTTCATCCCTGTGTTCTTTCTAGCCTGGCACCTAAGTTCAGCGTAATTTCTGTTTTACAGATATAATGCTTCCCTCCTTGAAGAAGGCAGGATTATGCGCAGACTGCAGCATAACCGTGTGGTAAAACTACTAGGTATAATTTTGGAAGATGGAAACTACTCACTTGTAATGGAGTATGTGGACCGGGGGAACATGATGAAAGTGCTACAGAAGGTGAACAGTGAATTGCTTCATCTCTTGGTGCTCCTTAGGGTTGATAAGATGCTTGAAAGGGACAAGATGTTACTGCAGTCTCCAAAGAATGGAGTTTTTAGTTTCTCATTCTCCTTTCTGTGTTAAAGAGCCAGCAGCAGCCCTGCCTTCTCTAGAGACAGCAGAGGACAGCTATGGCTTTCCTGTGCATCAGAGGAGCAGACCACAGTTAGAGGTTCAAACTTACAGGAGTGTTTGTAGAGATAAGTGGAGAATTTGCTAAAGAAGAATGCTTTTGTAAATATGGAGTGACTCTAGAATTACTTTAATGCAAAAATTTAGATCCAAGAAGGACCTTAGTTCTTTTTTATTGTGGTTTGAGCAGAGGTATTCTTGGGACTGAGAAAGAAACTTTTTTTTTAAAGATTGTTTTTTAATTTGATGGTTGTAGTAGCATTTTTTAATAGATGGCATTTCTTGTTCTTTGTTTTAGCTCTCACTGCCTTTGTCAGTGAAAGGGCGTTTTGTGCTGGAGATCACAGAAGGAATGCTTTATCTGCATGAGCAAGGTTTCGTACACAAAGACCTAAAGCCAGAAAACATCCTTGTAGACACAGACTTCCACATTAAGGTACTTGTTAGAACAACGTAAATGGAGAAGGCTAGTGATTTGGGTTGAAGAACCCAGTTCAGCTGCATTGGTTAGTATTCCTGATTGGTAGATGAACTCCTTTGCAGTGTAGCGAGCTATTGCCAAGAGTGTTAGCAGTGGATCACTGAAGTATGGTGGCCTATACAATCTCTGAGCCTGAGCTTTGCATAATCTTCCCCCAACTGTGGAAAAAAAAAATCACTAAGGGCATTAAAAAAAATGAATAATATTGTTGAGAATTAATGAACTACAAATAACAAAACAGTTAGAAAGAAAAAACAAACCTTAACACATAGAGATTGAAACAAAATAGAATGCCTTATGGATCGTGCCTTTTGTCCTTTATTGCTGTAATTTCTCCTCCTGCCTTTACCTCCTCCTTTTTATTCCTTTACTTCTTTTGCCTATCATCTTTTCCTCTTTTGTCTCCCTCTTTTTTCCCTTAGTCATCATTTTAAAATGACAGACAGCAGCTACAAAAAAAGCAGCAGGAGACTACTTCAAAGAATGGTTTGTAAGCCTGTTCCAAAGCCCTTCTATTAACTTTAGTGGGGTTTTGGATCAAGACACATAGATATAGAGTCTACTCCTGAATAAACCTGAGTAGAATTTGCAGCAGTCCTCATCAAACATCCTGTCTCTGGTCAAGGTGAGTTGCTGAAATAACCACCCCATTACAGTTGAAACTACAGAATAAATTCCTGTGAAGAGAGCTTTGTCATTTGGTATTTCTCACACATAAATTAGTGAGAAGTTTTTTAACAAGGTTAATATAGCAGCAAGTCCTAGTGGAGTATAAGCAGCTTGCAGAGAAGAGGTATAAACTTTTTTTTTTTTGCCAAAAATAATTAAAAAAATCCTGATCTGCTTTAAGCGTAAATTGGATGGTTTTGGGGGTTTCAGCTTGCTTATATGGACAGGACCAAACTAGGCTATCATCATACTGCATGACAAACTGAACTGCAACCCAGGATCAAATTCAGAATAAGATCAGACTTCCTTAAGCAGCTTAATTAAAAGTATAACTTAAGGCAGCTGTTGTATGATCCCTCTGCTTGAATGTGTCTAACCTTGCCAATATATATAAAGGGAAATAGTTGTTCTAGGTAACTGCAAATGTTGGAAGATTTATATCATGTCTTCCTCTATCACATTAAACCTCTCACTTGTAGACCTGAACTTGGACTCCTGCTTCCTCAGCAGAATATCACTTACATTTTCCTCCTCCTCTGAATACATGACCTGTAAATTTAGTCCAAAGCTTCAGAAACTCAAGAGGAACAATAAGCTAGTTAGAGGCAACAAGAAAGAAAAGAAAAGCAAGTTATAAATAAGGCAAGACGTCACCTCAGTTTTATCTGAAGTGATTGGGTTACACAACTCAGTTTGACAGCTGCCTGTGGCCAAGAGAGGCAGTCCTATTTTCTTCCTTTTTTCCTCTCCTGCTGATCTCCTGTTCCCTTGTCTTAGCACTGATGCTAATCTGACCACCCTGCCCTGATTTAAGCAGCCAAACCAGCAGATTACAATTTGCCTTGTTGGCAGTGCTACCCTTCTGTTGCAGTGCACTTGATTAGGCAAGCCATTTGAGTGCCTTGCACTAGGTCTTCCCAGTGTCAGGTAAGTGTCAGTGCTGGAACAGGAGGAGCAGAGGTAGCACATAACAGAAGGCTGTGGGGAAAGGAGGGAAGGATTACTTTATTCGCCATCAGCCATTAGTCCAGCTGTAAAACTGCACCCTAAGGTTTCAGTAACATCACCTTGTCAAGCACACAGTACCCAGGTATCCCTGCTTTAACTTATCCCATGCTATCCTTTTCCATGTCTCTCTGCCATACACATCACATCACTTTAGATCCTCTTCCTCCCCCTTTCTGTAGGAAGATATAAGGAACTTGAGTTAAATGGAATCTAAATGCAAAGGGTAGTAAGGGAAGAAGGATATCTGCCCATCTCATAGATTACTTCTGGGTTTGAATCTTAGCTTGTTCTTATATGGGTCTTCTGTTCTGCCATGAGCACTGCAAGCAGATCTTGAATGTGATTGTCAATATGAGCAAAACCAACCTTTTTCCTTACATTGGGTGATTGTTCCAAGTGAGGTTAAGTTAATAATGAACATTCAGCCTAACTGTTCTCAGTTGACAGTGATAATTTATTTGGGGAAAAAAACCCCACCCATAAAACAGCAAGTAGTTTGTTTTCCTTTCTTGTAGTTGCATTTTTTGCACCGTTTCATTTTTAGGTAAGTTATTAACAGCTATTCATTACAAAATTGAGCACTGCTTGAAATACTTGTTTATCTCCTCTTCATCACAGCACTAGCTCTGATGTGTCTCATTTTTCAGATTGCAGATCTCGGTGTTGCCTCCTTTAAGAACTGGAGCCGGCTGACCCAAGAAGAGACTGTCCGACAGAAGCAAATCAAGAGCACTTGCCAGAACAATGCTGGGACTCTTTTCTATATGGCCCCAGAGCATTTACGCTGTGTTAATGTAAAACCTGTGGAGAAATCAGATGTTTACAGCTTCGGCATAGTGATCTGGGCAATTTTTGCTAACAAAGAGCCATATGAACGTAAGTTACTTCCAGAAGGACGCGATCACAAAACTAAGTTACAAATGTTAAGCATTTAAAGTTATAAAATTAAGATTAGTAGATTAAATCAGTTATGCCCGAGAATAGCGCCTGTTCAGCACCTCATGGCCAGTGGGAGGCATTAGTTGCATCATTCCTGACTTATAAGTGTGGACAGGAATATCTGAATTGAAAGGTAGGCATGAGCCCAAACTATTTGCATACACATGGTATGGGCATAAACCTGCACTCAGTGGCAGAAGTTAAACAAATCTTGGGCAGGCCAGGATGGAAACTTTGACGTATACTATTGCCTGAGGTAGGCTGGTGGTTTTTCTTGTAACAGGAATGGTCATATAGCCAGTTACAGCTTCTCAGCTGTATGGTACTAATTTCTCAACATGCAGTAGTATTGTCATGTAGAACAATAGGAGCAGACTGTGGAATTCCAGAGTAATGTGTTTATCATTTTGAATGGATTTTTTGCTAACTGAATAGCTAAATGTTGCCTGTGTGGCCATCTTTGTGTTCATACCCAGTGCAGAGCATAACTGAGATTCAGATAACTGAGCTAGATGTCACCCTCACTCACACTGGGCACATCTTATATGTAAAAGTAAATATTAATCTTAAAATAAATCTCTAATCCATGGAAGTTAGGGCAGTGAATTAAAATTCACTAGTGTGAGATATTTATAGCTGTAAATCAGTCACCTTTCTTTGAAATCTTCTTTTATATATCCACAAACACACAGGGAGCTGCTTCACTATTTCTTTTACCTACAGAAAGGTTGCAAAATCCGTGATCAAGATCTGATAGGGAATTTTATTTTTCAGATTGTATAAATGAAGCCCAGATTTGCTTTGGCATCATGAATGGAAACAGACCAGACATAAAGGAGATCACTGATAAATGTCCAGTGGAAATTATTGACTTAATGAAACAATGCTGGGAGCAAGAGTCAGAGAAACGGCCAACCTTTGCAGGTAAGGCATTGCTTTGCGATTCTTTTTGTTACATGTGCGTCAATAGTCTGTAATGAAGCAAAACAAACTTGAGTGTTTTCCTCTTAAAATAAATTTTTGCTTTGAAAATAGAAATATCAATTCACATGCCCAGTAAAGCATGCTCCCTGTACCCTGACTAAAAATGGGATCTGGTCCAACATTACAAATCTGAGAAATACTAGTGAGTGGGTAGAGCCAATAGACTTATACCTGCTGATAATTTTTCTTCAGCACACTATAATCTTCCTGCTGAAATTTACAGAAAAGCTAACATCAAGTGACATAGTATATCTTGGGTCTGACTGAGAAAATACCCTACCCAAACTAGTTTCAGAAGCTGTCCCAGATCAGCCTTCCATGAACAATGCAACTAGCCTTTGACTGTTCTTGTTACTATATTAAGGCTAAATGAGTCGCGTGAACAGATTCCAAATGTATGTATAATTTTCCTGTTTCTGACTTTATACAAGTCTTTATTCAATCCTTATCCATCAAAATTGTTGACAGTATAAATCACTTCTATATTCCATTGGAAACCACTTTCACTTAGTTCTGTTCTTTTTGCAGAAATTAGTCAAAGATACAAGCCATTTTACTATCAAAATCTAGGAAAAAATATTGAAGATGATCTGAAGGAGTTAAAAGTGAGTAACTTTCTAAGCATTTTAAAGCATCAGTTCCCCACCCCTCTCCCCAACCTCAGTTATGGCCAGATTCTGCCCCTTTGAGACTGATCATGCTTGACCAACCTGATTTCCTTCTGTGATAAAATGGCTGGATTTGTGAATGAGGGGAGAGCAGTGCATGTCATTTACCTCAACTTTAGGAGGACTTTCAACACTGTCTCCCAAAATGTTCTTTATCCAAGTTCAGATGTTACTGTCTGGATGGGCAGATGAGAACAGGTTGAATGGTGAGTCTCAGAGGGGTAGCACTTAGTGGGTCCTACTTCACCTGGAGGCCAGTAACAACTGCAGTAGTGCAGAGGTCTACTATACTGGGGTCTTCCCTGGTTTACTCCTTTATCGGTGACCTTAGGGAAGTGATGGAACGTACTCTCATAACGTGTGCAGGTGACACCAAACTAGGACCACCAGTTAATACAATCACAAGGGCAAGGCTGCCCACTGCAGGCTGAAGGAATGGTGTGACAGAAACCTTTTGAAATTCAGAAAGGACAAATGCAATGTGCTGCACCTGGAACAACCCCTGACTTGAGTGCCAACTGGGGGCTGCCTGGCTGGGGAGCAGCACTGCTGAGAAGGACCTCAGGGTGCTGGTGAGCAGCAACCTGGGTACCAGCCACAGCCGGCCTGGCAACCAGGAATGCCAGCAGCATCCCGGGCTGTACCAGCAGTGTCACGGGCAGCAGATCAAGCAGATCTGTGCAGTGCTTGTTAGTCCTGCCATATGAGATGGGGCTGAGGGACTGGGGTTATTTCAGCCCAGACACATGATGGCTTTGGGGGCACATAAATAGCAGCCTGCCCCTACCTATGAGGAGTTTATTGAGAAGATAGAGTCAAGCTCTTCACAGCAGTGCACGGTAGGAGGACAAGAGACAGCGGACATAAGCTGAAACAAGAGAGATTCAAACTGGGTGTAAGAGAAAAAATTTCTCCCCATGGAGACAGCTGAGCAGTGGAGCAGGTTAGCTAGGGAGGTTGTCTAGTCACCATCATTGGAGGTTTTCAACACCCAACTGCACAAAGCTCTGAACTACCAACTCTGATCCCATAGGTGACCCTGTTTTGAGTAGGAGGTGGGCCTGAGGTTCCCCAAGGTCCCACCTGAGTAACACTCTGATTCTATGATAATACTTTGCAAAAGCTCCTCATATATCCATTAAGTCTCACTCATGAAATAAAATGTTATTCCTAGAGATTAAAAAGTGGCAGAATCTGATTTAAAGTAAATGTAAAAAAAAAAAAAAAAAACCCAAACCACACCTCTAAATTCTTGGTAATTTCTGTCCTGCGTTCAGGCAGTGTCTAATGAGTCCCAGCCTTCTTGAGACCAGGAAGCTATATGGCAGTAATAACAGGGAAAATTTGAAATTAGATGTTTTTCCTGAGTATCCAAGTCGGTTTTCTCTTAGTTTTCTGGCTTTAGGTTTATAAATTATGATAAAAAGAATGATTTCCTGACTGAAAATAAGAGAATGAGAAGTTCTTGAACAATTGGGATGATTATGGAACCTTTTTATCACAGATTTTATCAATTTACTCACTTCAGTAGTACTGACATCTATCGGTGAGAACTCCTGGCATTAGGGGTTTAATCTTTGCAGTGAAATGAGGCTCAGAAGAGTACATACAGTTATTTTAACTGAGAAAAGAAAAACAACTTCCTTTAAAGAAAACTGTAAATGAATGGTTTCACAAAGTGCTTCCTTCTGTCACCAAGTCTACAGTTGTGGAAATGAAAGTTTCTGGTTTAGAGAACATGTGATGTTTGTGAAGCACTAGTGACTGTTCAAAAAAGCAATAGAGTTTTGCAAAATCAAACTGGTGAAACAAATTTCCTGGACTGATTTGACCAAGCTAACTCACAATGTGAAGTATATATAATCTAGTTTATGATAGCGGCCCCAAATCAGGATCATGGCCAGCTAGACTAGATGCATTAGCTCTCTGCAAATACACCTCTCAAACCATAGGGACCATAGGACTATTTAGAAAATGGGCTGTGAGTCTCTTACTTTATCAGGAAGGAAAGCATCCATTCCAATCGAGGCACAGAATTTGAATACAGCATTCAAGGCAAGTCAGTATGGTGAACTAATACTACAGTTTCAGTAGTAACATGAGTTAGAGGGTTTGAGCATAGCCTTTTTTTTTTTTTCCACCCCACTAGCAACCGTGGAAGCAGAGTCCACAGCCTCCTAACTAAAAGGACCACAGAATCGCAGAATGGTTGAGGTTGGAAGGGACCTCTAGAGGTCATCTGGTCCAACCTCCCTGCTCAAGCAGTTCAGTTACTCAAGTGAAATCTAAGGACCTAAGGTTGTAATGCACTTTAGAATGTCATCTGTTGCTTTTGAAAGGAAGTAGATTTTGGGGGGGAAGAAATAGTAGTTGTTGATTTTTAGTCTGTGAAAGTACTTCTTGGGTTTAATTAAAAAAAACCCCACCCTACTTTTAGAAATTATTTTACAAGTAAAAAGCACTGGGAGAAATTGAGAAATAATTTTTCCAGATTAAAAAAACCTTTTACTTCCAGTGAAGTCTGAATAATGGGAACATCAAAAGAATAGAACAGGGATGGATTTTGCCTTCACTCTAGTGAAGTGAGGATGAGGGTTTACAGAAAGGAAATTGTACTGCATCTTTCTGAAAATTTGCTCTGAACTCCTTGTTCCTAATACTCTTCGTAAAAAGTCAACGTGGCCATACCTGAATGTAAATCTTCTTCCTCACCTCTTCCCCGTTGATGAATATAATTACTAAATATAGATCCACAAAACAGGATGCATGTTTGCTACCTTTACCTCAGCAGCATCCTCTCACCGAGACTGCTTGCAGAAAGTCTAGCTATTAAGTACAAGACAGACAATCCAAAACCACTCTTTCTGGATTCAGCTCATACTCACATAGGCAAGGGTATTGTTTGGCCGAGTAAGAGTATTATATACTGCAGTTGCATTGCAGTCCTTCCTCCCATCATTGAAGAAAAGATTTTGCCCATCAGTAGCAAAACAATGGGTATTTTCTGTCAAGCTGTGCTCTCTGTAAGAGTATGGGATCTCTTCCCACAGATTCACGGAATCTGTTAATCCAGGTCACTTCACTGTGAAGCTGTGCTGTTTCCTGTTCTACAGGAATAAGCTTTTGCCTGTAACTTGATCATTTGTTCTTTCTTATGTGCAGAAAATGTGGCCCGAGTCAAATGAACTGCTGGATAGGATGCAATCCCTTCAAATAGATGCTGTAGCAGAAGATGCCAGTAATGGTCAAGTAGGTAAGTCACTTACTAGCACATCATTATTCTATGTATTCTGCCAAAGATAAAGTAATCTTGTACTTAACCATGTACAAAGTAACCATGTAAGTAACCATGTACAAAGTAAGTAATCTTACCGTTAAGGGGTTATGAAGAGACTCAATTATTCAGTGCTTCAGAGAAAATTACAACCACTGAAAAGATTAAATTTGCTCCCAGGCTCCCAAAAGTCATACTTAATTAATTAATTACTTAGTTTTCCCCAATCCACAGTTTGAATCCATTTCCTTTTACACTCTTCTGTTTTCCTCTCCCATGCTGAAAATTTTGTTTAACACTAGATTTTTCAATAGTCACTTTGATAATTACTTTTCATACTTGATCTTTCTTCCCATCCTTTTAGTCATGCCAACTGCTTGGTCTGTAGGCCTTAATTTCATGAAGGCTTTCCTTTTTCCACTACAGCCTTTCTTATGAATGCTCTGAATACAGCCAGGATGCATAATTATAACATATTCCTTTGTTTGTGATCTTGCTTTCTATGGAATCTATCTGAGGAGCACCAATAGATGAATTTTCTCTCCCTTCATCTTTTCTATCAAAACTTGGATGAGTTTCATGGTTTTACAGAGCTGTCTCACTAAAACGTGATGATATAATTACAGTTTTTTAGTAATGTATCTGGAATCCTTTTTCCAAAGTTTCTTAATAGCAAAGGATATAGGATCATATTTGCAACACTGGTTTACAAGCAACAATATCAAATTCTGTAGAAATAAAATCCTGCTAAGTTTGCTCACACTGTTTGAAAGATATTATTAAATGAATAATGTTAAACTGTAACACGCAACTAATAAATCTTCCCCAAAGCTACATTTGCCGTAACTGTTCTTCAGTAGAACTGATGGACTTAATAGGGCAGCCCCACTGCTGTATTTTTAAATTAGTATAATTGCATTTCCCTAGCAGAAATAATCACATGTGACTGCAGCTGATTACAGATGCTCTTGTGTTTTAAGTACAGGAGGCTTTATTGGGAATCTACACTGCAGAAAGATACCATCTTGACAGCCTGTCAGTCAAAGTCAGGGTTTTTTTCTCCAGTCAATTGGCATTACTCAGGCAGTGGTAGTGAAAGATACCCCACAGGATCTATTCATACATCTCAAGCTTGCCCTGAAGAATGGATGCCATATAGTTTGTGCTAATACTGAATTGCTAACAGCTGTCACTTTTGATAAGGTTGTTTCTGTATTAGCTTATTCATCCCACTCCCTCTCTAGTAGCAGTAACAAAAGAAGCAGAGTGAGTCAGATTGAAGGTGTACTAATACACAGCCATCAAAAGGAACCAGTATTGGTCCTGCCTAATAGGGACTGAATTCAGGTCATTTGGAAAAAAATTTTAAAAAAAGAAAAAAGAAAAAAACACACACAAAAAAACACACCATAGTTCACTAGCATTATCTGAGCTAAACAGAAGCACATACCTATGCTGTATTCCAATTTTACAGTGGTCTGACAGAGTCCCTTGCTTTGGGCAATGTACAATGTTTTCTAGACAACTACGAAGCTTTCAGAACTTTTTAAGAAAACATCTGTAGTCCTACCCTTAAAAACACAAGGACAAGTAGTTACAGGCAGATTTTTACATTCTTGTTTAGTCTTGGAATGCTGCAGGATGATCCAGGTCATAACTCAATCTAGTTCAAGACTGAAGTAGAGCATCCTTTGATAGTGAGTATTAGTTTGAAAGATATAGATAACACAGACTATTTTATCTGGTAGTTGTTACTTGTAAAGTGTATTCTTTGGGACTACGAAGAATAAACTAGACAAAAAGGATTCATCATGAAATATGAGATGGGATATTTTACATAATCATTTGCAAACGTGACTTTAATGACAAAGTGTTTGTTATTTTCAGCCTGTTACACTCCAATTTTGCAATTATTAAACACTAGTTAATGCCAGTGGAGACACACTATTAAATCAGACCCTACAAATGCCTCCAGGAACTGTTTGTTTCAGTGGTTGAGAACTTGATGCCAATATAAGCAGAGCATGCAGTGAATTCCGACACCACTTGACTAAGTGAAATTTTGACACTGATAGCTTAAACAAGCTTGTACTTCCTAGATAAAAATCTGTAATACTTCTCCATAAAGGCACTCTATAAAATAAAACACAGCTTATGCTGGAAGTAATGTTATATATTCACCTTTTATATATTACCATAATATTAAAGGTAGATTAATAGATTCTACTCTCATCGCAACAAGTTATATACTTGCATTTGGATGTATTTCACATATTAGTTTTCCTCCCTTTCAGATCAGCCTAATTCTCTACACAGCTCTCAAGGTCCCATGACCAGTCATGTTAATGATGCCCTGTTTGCTGCCTCCCCTGAGAACCAGCCTGTTGAGAGCTGTGAGACCTCATTTACATCTGCTGATCATCTAGAAAGAAAACTTCAGCGTGAATACAACTACCATGTATTTGGGAGCTGGATGGATAAAGCAGTTCCACCTGTAGTATATACCCCTGAAATGAGAGAGGAAGAAAGGAGACGAAGAGTTTCCTACGATCCATTTGCAAAGCTATCTCCTACTCCTCAATGGAGTGAACTGTACCCAAGAGCTGAAAAAACAGGATCAAACACTAATCCATATTTTTGGCCACAGCCAGCTGCAACACCACCAAAACAGGGAAATGTAGATATTTTTTATGGGCCAAGCCATAACAGTCTTCTAACGGGAAACACAGAGGGTCTCTATGGATTGTGTTCAGCCAGTACCTTTAGCCTAAGTAAACCTCCTGTGCCTGAATCTGGCCCAAACTTGCAGTCACAGACCAACGTAAACTGGTATCCAAAGAATGCAGACACAGACACAGGTGAGATTCCTCCTCCCCCAACACCTATGTTTCTGAAGACACACTTGTTTTCTAAAAATGAAGTGGCCAAGAATGTTTTGTAGTTTATGTAACAACAACTTGCTTATTGTTAATTTATTTCATGACGTTCTCTTCATGTACTTGAAATTAATTCACGTCACTAAAATGCTCTAGCTTTGACTTCATTATGCTGCTTTCACTGATTTCAGGCTGTTAACTTCAAGTGAACCATTTCTAAAGCATCAGTATAATAGAGGACCATTACACCCGATGCCTAACTCTTCAGCTACCAAGTAATAGCAGACAGCAGATACTGCTACAGCAGCTACCAATCATTCTACAAAAGCAAAGGAAAACTTTTGACTCCCCAAAATGTAACATTCATGCCATAGGTTCTTCTTGTGCAGAAACAACATTTGTAGCATTTTAGAAAATAGATAGGTATTTTTAACTTGATTTGCAGCAAGGTAAGAGAATTCTGAGCTCAGGGAGCCAGCAAGAAGCTAAAGCTCATAACTGGTTTCTCCAGAGAGCTGGGTGCTGATGGGGAGCTTCTGTCAATATTTGCTGGTGAGCTGTGGAGTAGGAAGGTATGGAGCCAAAGAAGGAAGAGAACACTAAGCATTAGCAAAAAGTATAAATGGTAACTAGAGGCCTATAGGATGTAATTTTCAGGAACTAGAGGTAGCATGAGATACATTAGCCTGCTCCTCCTAAATACTGGATATTTTTAGCATGGCATTCCTTTCCAGATTGTCTCACGGGAAGATCAAGGATGCCTAGCTGTTTACAGGCAGAATGCCACAAAGGTGTTACTCTGTTAAATTATTTATGCAGAGGCTGTGATTAGTTGTTTGTGTGAGTTTATTTACTGAAATGAATCTGAGAGCTGTCATGTCAGAAGGCAGGGATTAGAACTGTCAACATCACTAATAAAGTCAAGTCTTCTGTTTGAAAGAAGAAAACAGTTATTATAGGGAGGCTGCATGCCATAGTGGGGCAGATGTCAGACTACGAAGCAGAAGAGCTGCATTGCAGCTCTTCCATTGACTTATTGTGTGACTGTAAACCAGTCACTCTTACTACCCCATCATGAGCTGCAGAGCTCATCTGTGGGCATCCAAATCGATTACTGCCCTGGGCTGGAAGTTACATCTCTGCTGGACATTACTGCCACTGGCAGAAGATGCAGTGGTGTCCCATGCCTTTGCTAGACTTGGTCACAACTAGTGTGCTAATACAAACCACGATCAGTCTCAGCAGTAAGCAATAGCAACATGCTTGGGAGTTTGATGTTTTTCAGTTTGAATACCTGATACGAGGCAGCTCAGTCCATAACTATGCTGTGATCCCGCACTGCTATCTACTACCCAGGTATCCATATACCCACGTGGAAGCACATTGCCCTTGCTAGGATCCAAGGATGGTTAAGGCTATTAGTCATTGAACAAAACCATGATAAGGTCATTGCTTTAACTAGGGTTATTTAAGGAGATACAATCCTATTAAAAAGCTTCTCATCTCTTTGTATTTAAAAGCATGAACTATGTACTCATACTGTTACAAATATGGCAGTCATTTTTACATACATTTGCTTTTTTTGTTTACATAACACTTTTGACATTTTTTTGTTTTCCCTCTTTGTTCAGGTAACAAGGATTCCACTTCTTTCACAAGGGCAACTTTTACATATTATCCTACTGCACCCAGAGTAAGCACAGGTAAGTGCAGTAGTCTTCATCTGCCCTGGTAGCCAACAAGCTATGCATTGCATCCTGATCAGTAAAGCAAAAAGCTTCAGGATCTTGAAATAATTTATGTTATTGCTTAATACCCCTAACCATAGCTGAAGTTATCAGTACCAGTATGTAAAACTAATTCCTGTCTCTAGCAGGACCTGTACACACCATTAAATGTGTATTTGATGGATCAAAGACATCATCTGTGTAAAAGAACTTTTAAAAACATGAAGGCATTGTAAGATCTCCTGTACACCTAAACCAGTCACTTTCTTAGATTAAACGTCGGGTTGCTGTGACTCTACCCAACTCCTGAACCACACGTGCATTTGGGACACCTGTCCTTTCTTGCTCTGGATTTTTAATACAAATCTCTAGCTGCAGGCTTTGTGCTGATCAGCCTTCCTTGGGGCACAGGTCTCTGCAGTTCAGCTGCCTCAAACCCATGAAATTCTGTCCTGTCTTTCAAGAGTTGTTAACATATGTTCCTTTCAAGTTGTGTTGCTTGGGGCACCCTGAACTCTTTAATTAACCCTTTCAAGGTTTTTCCAGTTTGTAAGTGGTTTACACTTACAAAGAAAACTTGAAGCAGCAGGCTTCTGTCTTCTTGACTATATGCCCCTTAGAGTCATTAGATGATTACCCAAACATGACAAGCAAGCAAAGCGTAGAGGCTTGGGAAAGGAGAGTTATAAGCACAGTAACTTTTACTGTTAATATTGACAAAGCATTTGTACATGTTTTCATATCTTGTGCTAGATTCATTTTGTTACCAGATAAGAAAATAGTAAACATGAGACTTCTTCATTTTTTAGCTAAAATATGAATATATTTCGCGAGTCCTTCACCTCAAAAAAAAAGATACAGGAATCATAGTATTCCGAGACATACTAAAACACATTCCTTTTGTGCAACTTCAAGAAACTAATCATGCATACATATAGGTATTTCTGACTAGCAGTTTCAGGTTAACAAATATTAAATGCATTTAATGAGATTTTCTTATGTGACCATAGATTTCCACACTTCATATTACAATTGAGTGTGTAACAAGGATGTTTGTGCATCTAACCATCATTTTAGGTGATTAAATACAGAGCTTGGTCTATCATTTTAAGTATCAGTACTTCAGTTTTAGACAGAGATTGTGATATTTACCATTTAAACTAGAGTTTAAACATTTAATGGGTGATTATCCAAACAGAGTTCAGAAAACATTGTCAAGAGAATAGAAAACTGGTGTCACCTAACATGACTAGAATTGCCACTTCGTTTCATGTTATGTGTGGAAATTGGATGACTGTAAGCAGAAGACACCAAATTAGGTATTTAACTAATCGCATACAAGTAAGCCACAGATGCAAGCTCCCAGAGGTGCACACAATTTAGCTGTGCTGGGTAAGGTATCTCAGAAAACTTTCTAGTCTTGCCTTAGAACCAGAAGTCCAGAACAGGGAAAAAAAATAAAAATTTTGAAAAAAGAAAAAAAAAAAGAGAGAGAAATGTTGTTGAAACAAACACTGAGCAAGTAGTGCACCATGAAGAACATACACCTAGATAGCGGGGATGAAATACATTATGAAACAGAGATGCCATCAAGACAGCATAGTATAACATGGAGTATACAAATCTTATGAGCAACTAGAAATGTTTTTTCTGTAGTCTCACAGAACTCTGAAGCTGTAACTGTAAACCTGAGCTTACATCTATGAAAAGTAAAGCCGAGAGGCAGAAGTAAGGCTTTAAGATTTAAACAAAAAGCGCTTTCAAGTGAAGACTGACTTCCTGAAGCTGTTAGCCAACAAAAAGCAAGGCTGCTACTACACGTTCCTAAAGTGCAGGGAACATTATTTACAATCTAGTAACTACCAGCATGTAAGGCTTGGTTATGGCACTTTGTCACAGAGTAGAATAGGATGGGCTTTCACTAAAGTACATTTATGTTACATTGCATAATTAAAATATGCCCACAGTTGCCAGTACATGGCCATTTCTACATCAAATGCAATAAAAACATTTAATCACTTCTCTTATTAACAGAACCTTCTGCCTCCTTACCACCTCCTTATGTTACTTCTTGACATTTTGAACCATATGCGGTTGCTTATAAAATTGTATTAAATTCCCTTATACAGAAGACTCAATCAAGTACAACATAAGTAACAGTTCTGGAATTCAAATTGGATCCTACAATCACATGAAGATTGAAGAGCACAATCAACATATCAGCACTTCTCCTGTTGCTACAGAGGCAATTTATAGGCATTATGAAGCAATGGGTATATTTGGTAAGAGTAACATCTCCCTAGTTTTGATGTATTCTCCCCGTATATTTATCTGAGAATCATTTGGTTTGGAACGTATGAAAGCAGTACAGCTTTCTCCCTCTGATATTTGAGAAATAACTGTTTGGATCCTTTTCTACTACATACTTAAGAGCTTATGAAACAAGTACCCTTGTGCTAATACCATTCTGTAATACTGTGTACCTCATTTGTCCTGTAGTTTCATGACCTTTTATGAGACACCAGGTACAAGTAGATGTATATGCATCATGAACAAGAGGAATAACAACACTCAAATTGGTAGAAGCAAGGTTAGGATTGGTGGTCCTCACCTGACTTACAGTTTAAATCATAGTATATCCTGAGTTGAAAGGAACCGATGAAGATCATGGAGTCCAGTGCCTGACACTACCCAGGGAAACCTAAAAGTTAAACTGTATATCTAAGAGCATTGTCCAAATATTTCTTGAATACTGACAGGCTTGGGGCCACAACCACTTCATTTGGGTAGAAATTGGAAGATTTTGAAATTTAATTTATTGTCGTTGGTCAATACTGAATTAAACTATCCTTGCGTATTCCTGAGTAAAAAAATTAATAGTGTCCCTGAATATAAAACATATCATACAGACCTCAGTCAGCTATATAAGAACTCTAAGAAGGAGCTTTTCAATTTTTCTGGTTTAGGTGACAAACTATGATAGCCTCAGATCAAAAAGCAAGTCCAGCAACTGACCTGTGAATACAGGTGTTCCAACTGGGAGTTTCTTTCCTGGTGTCATTGGGTAATACTGCCTCCATGAAACCCACTTCTGATTGTATCACTAAAATTCTGTCTCCAGATATTACCGACAAATAGTTGGGGGAGGACAGGTGAGATAGCGAAAGGAGCAGAAGAAATGTTAAACAATGCCATTTTCTTATACTTCTTTTTCTTTTTGCAGACAATACTACTGTCCTGACTGAGAAACATCTAAATCTAGTGAGAGAAAAGTTGGCTAAACAGTGGAAGCATTGTGCTCGTAAACTGGGCTTCTGTGATCCCGAGATTGATGAAATTGATCACGACTATGAACGAGATGGACTAAAAGAAAAAGTTTACCAAATGCTGCTTAAGTGGGTAATGAGGGAAGGCTCCAAAGGTGCTACAGTTGGAAAGCTTGCCAAAGCCCTCTTTGGCTGCCAAAGACTGGATCTCCTTACTAGTTTGATGCAAATCAACGAGGAATAAGTTGACTGAGAACTTGGGGGAAAAGTAAGATATTTTTTCCTGAAGATCTTCCAGTAACAAGTAATAATTCTGAAGAGACTTTCTGGAGCTCTCATTTTTGCACACTTTTTGGAACACATTTTTTCTGCCAAGCAGTTTTCAGTGAATACCTCTGGTAAATCAAAAAGTTTATGTCAAGATAACTGGTCTTCCAGAGGATAAAAGAAAATAAGCATCTTCCTTCTGAATAAAATGATTGTCCAAAGGTAATGACAACAAAACGCAATACCAATAGTGATTCAAGGAGAAGGTGTTATAAAAAATTTCTAGATTCTATCTTGAAACATGTTGGTACCCTTGTTTAGTTCTGAACAAAAGCATGTAATTTCAGCAAAGCTATTATATCAGTAATAACATGTGAAGGGCTGACTCACTCCTTGAAAAACTTGGACAGAAGACAAAAATCAACTCTTAAATTTTGCCAGAAGTGCCAATACTTACAAGGGTACTATCTCAGACTGCTCTAAGTCAATACGAAACTATTTTTTAAAATCTTTGTATAATGTTTATTAAATGCAGATGTCTAGAATTATGCAGAACAGCAGTGTAAATAAAAGCAAAAATGATTTTTGGCTTAAAAAGTAAATTGGTAAATTACTCTTCTTTCATAGGTTAATATTGCGTTAGATTTTTACATTGCTCGGTAGAAAAGATTTACATGGTAAGTTTCTCATCTGCTTTATGAAATAGTAAAAAAAAGAAATTCAATCATTATGCAATCCAAAGTAAAAACTTGGAAATATTAGAGCTTTGGTAAGGGGAAGGTACCTTATTACCCCATGACAGAAGACGCATTCTCCTACTTGCTCAGGGGGCTCAGAGTGTTACTAGTTTCTGAATCCCTTAGGCTGCATTTATACTAGTAAACTAAACATGCCTGGGAATGTTCTGGGCACTGAGGTTAACTGGCATGCCACAGCCTGCTGCCAGGGTAGCCAGTTCTTTAAACCTCCAAAATATTGTGCCAGGGCTATTTCACAGCACTGAAGTTGTGTTGGGGAACACTGCAACAGCTCTGTAGCCTGGGAATGTTCCTTGCCGCTCTGACTTGCTAGTATTGACATAATCTCAGTGTGCAAGATCTATGAAAGAAGAATTACGCCAAACTCTTCCTATGAAGGACAATACCTCCTATTTCCATCAAATCTACAAATATTTCCAGCAGATGTTTTGGACCAGGTAATTATGCTATAGATAAAGAAGTGTTCATTAGGTTCTTGTTATTGTAAAAAAACCCTAATAATTTAATAGAAGTGTAGTTAGAATGGATTTCTGCTCCTTGATACAGTAGCCACCATTTTAGCAGAAGCAAAATGAAACTGGAACCACAGTAACGACCAACACATATTTGTCATCTTCAAACCTACGTAGCACAAGGCAATACTGGAAATGGCCCCCAAAATGGAGACTTTAGCAGAAATCAATACAAAAAGCGTGTCATCCACCCAAATAGTGGAGCATTTATATATTTGTTAATGCATGCTAAAACTCATACTTTCCTTTCCACTGAGGCTAGCTTGGGATGTATCAGTATATACCACAGTAATATTTATATTTTGAATGCCTCAATTTATTGCATTGCCTTACTGTTTTGACTTAGCAACATGCTAAGTGTTCTATAAATTCTTGAGTATAATAGATAGATAAAAGACATCATTCTCTAGTATCATGAGCATACACTTTCCAGAAATAATAATTTACTCTTCCTGAAGCAGATAGAGAAATGGGGTGGAGGTCATGGGGAGTGTCTTCTCCTGTGTCAGTTCATAGGGCATTACAACCACCAACTACTATGTTACTTCATGAAACAGATTCCTGAACAGATCAACAAAGTCCATTTATGTTCTAGCAACATTGGTTGCACTGTATTGCTACATCAATTCCCTAGCCCCCAGTTGCTTTTCTAAGTCTCACATACATATAGTCTTCATTTACACAGCATGCTATTTTTCCATTATAAGATTCTTGTCTTATTTGGTACACAGAATGAATGGTGATCATTTAAATGGCATACATTAAATACTTCATCTCCTTAATAAAGAAAGTGAGCCTGCACCTTCTGTTCTGAAACAACAACAAAGATGTAGAACACAAACATGAAGCATCTCAGAACAAGACTTAAGCATAGGGTAGTCCTAGATCTTTAAAGTGGGATGTGGGAGATGAAGGTCATTTTAGCTTTGATGCTGTCAAGTCCAGTTCTAGACTAGTGCTCATAGTTCAGGTGATGTTTCAGATGGTATAGAAAACAACCACAAAACTGAAAGCTAGAGACAATCTTTTTCAGTATAACACTTGGAGGACTCAATCAGAGAGAAGAAGATTCAGCTTCCTGGGCAGAAAATATGAAGTACTACAAGCTCTTTAGAATATTGTGGAAAACCACATAATAGGATCCGATGCCTCGACGCTGCAGCCAGACATGCCAAAATTAGAATACATATTTAATAATAAGGATGATTAACTACTGGAATAAACTACCTAGGGAGTCTGTGGATCCTCTTGATATCTTTTAATTAAGACTGGTCTTGTTTCTTAAGATGGATATAGTAAAACACAAAGCTATAGGTCTCAATACAAGGTTAACTAGGTAAAACAAAAGATAATGGTGTACAAGAGGTCCAAAGAAAAAGAGTGCTCTCCCCTGGCCTAAAAATTTACAGAAGTGGTAAGTGTGGCAGAGAGAGATCAGCTAATATTAACTTACTGGGTTGTTCATTTCATCTACCACCACCATCCCACCCTAACACCCCCCCCCCCCCAAAAAAAAAAAAAAAAAATCAAGGATGGAGGTTGCTTTTCAAAAATCAACTATCATGACAGATCAAAAATGCAGGAATATATTGGGGACAAGGAAGAAAGAGATGTAGTATGGCACAGATCAGATACCCTTCGTGGCAAAAGAAAGAAGAGAAAGGACAGAACAGTAACTTCACATTAAACTGGCAAGCTATTAGCCTCAAGAACAGAGGTGGCAGTAATGCAGCAATCTTACAGAGATTTTTTCATCAAATGGGTGAGGTGCAAGCCAGGGAGAAAAAAGCTGTGGGTTGCAGTAGCAGACCTCCTTCTCATGGTCTCTCCTTGAAGATCTTATACAGCAGGTGAACTCATCCACTTATGCACAAGGACATTATGTTTTGCCATTTTAAGAGAGTATGAGCTTTGAGACTTTAGATCGTGGTTTTATTGTTGGTTGAGTTCTGCACACAGAAAGCACTAGTTTGAGATATTAAAGAGTTCCCTACCTAGAATTCTTGTGTTCCTTGGAATCACTTGCTTTTGGTTTCTCCCTTACTCTAGGCAACAAGTCTAGGAGCTTTTTTGTGTGGAGGCAAAAGCTAGAACACTAACAGCAAATGATCAAATACCATTCAAGTACAGCCTCCACCCCATAGCTACAGTCATCATTACACAGCAACCAATCTGTGCAGAAATTCTTAAATGCTGAGAGGATTAGAGTCCATGTAATTCAGAGCAATTTATTTGGTTAATTTTGTTACTATGTCCCCATTAACAGTGTACAAGCAGATAAGAATTTTGAGGAGTTTTTACTGCTTCCAAAATAGTTGCTAAATAATACCAATTAATAATACTGAATGAAAAACTCAGAGAGGACACTGTTGCAAGCATTTGATATGTGAACTTTGAACTGAGCTGGCAACATACAGCTCCTCTTCCTCAGAGGCCAGTTTCCAAGGAGAGGCAATACTCAAGAACTTAGCCTCTGACTGATCAAGCAGCTTTAAATGAACTATGTCACTTTTCTCTGATAGATTTTTCATCATTGTACTACAACAAATGAAAGCCTTCTTTCAGCCTTGGAGGCACATGGAAAATAGAGTAAGAACCTCCAGTCTCTGAAACACACCCAGCCTTGTACATAGTGAGAAAGAGCTACAGAGAAACAAAGCAGAAAGGATCATCCAGTACAAGCAGGGCCATGTCAGAGCTAACTAGCACTTGGGAGGGCTCTCTTCCCTGGATCCTAGTGGCCTCTAGGCACTTTGTTCACCCCTTCCTCATCCCAGTTCTCTACAGACTACAGAAAGTACTCTTTGCAGCATGCCAGGTTTCCCTCCTAGCATACCAATGAGCATCAGGAGTCAGCCAACCGATGCTCATTTGTTCCTCACCACAAAATGGCAGCTAGGGAAAGTGCAGCTCTCACACTCTATCCTTAATACAGCCCCTGGGGAGAAGGGAATGGGGAAGTTAGGATCAGAACAGCGTCTAGGTTGCAGAGTCTAGAAGCTATCTTTGTGCTGGAGGAAGCATTGCCTACGAGTCAAATGAAGGAGACCAGGCTCCTGACTTACGCTGGGTTTCACACTCCTCTCACACTCTTCCTCTACAACTCTAAGCAGGTCACTTCCTTTCTCTTTAGCACAGTTTTCTCATCTCTTTGCTACAGACATTAACTTCTGCCAGAACTAAGATGTGATCAGATAATAAGCATTAGAGCTTATAGAGCTCAGAGACACACTTGATGAGAGCTGTTTGAGACAAAAATCCACACTAATCACCTTAACAAACCAGTAATACTGCTTGGATTTTGAAGGATGGGTTGCAATTCCTGTGTGCCCTGTGCACATATCGAGTCAAGAGAACTAAATGCAGCACCAGAAGGGTCTGGATCACTGAGTTCACTAAAAGAGATTCATACAACCCCTCCCATAAACATATCAAGAACCATCTTCTGAATGTTACCCTGGCCCTCTCCAAGGGAGAGGCTGTTTCTGCTTTTGTACCAGAGTATTTGGAGCCATTTCAGGTCTCTGAATCTAGAACATTCTGAATCTGAACAAAAATTATACCAACACTGCTTAGATTTACAGGATGGTGATCATATTCAACTTTGAAATGGTGAGACCACCTCACATTGACATGCCTGCACTCGGCCACTTCAGATTTATAATGCAGTTCATGAACATATGAAAGCTATGCAGACACTACTTAGGCTAACAGACAACTATCCTTTGCTAGCATAAGTGTCACAGTTTAACCCCAGCCAGCAACTAAGCACCACGCAGCTGGCCACTCACTCTCCCCCCACCCAGTGGGATGGGGGAAAGAATCAGAAAAAAAAGAGTAAAACTCATGGGTTGAGATAAGAACAGTTTAATAGGACAGAAAGGAAGAAAATTATAATGGTAATAACAACAACAATAAAATGCCAATAATATTAAAAAAAGAACTGGAATATACAAAACAAGTGATGCACAATGCAATTGCTCACCACTCACTGACCGATGCCCAGTTAGTTCCCAAGCAGCAATCCCCCTCAGGCCAAATCCCCCCAGTTTATTTACTGGGCATGACCTCACATGGTATGGAACATTCCTT